TCTCATACAGGCAAAGAGCATCATCCAACCCATTAATGTTCTTAATTTTTTCACTGAAATTGAATTTAGCAACGGCGCCTTTTGTACAGAAACAACGAGGAAGTATCATTCTATCCTTACACAAACCACCTATCAAAGAATTGTAAGTAACGACATCTGGTGGGATTCCCTTCTCGGGCATTTCGTTGAGAAGTGCCAAGGCTGAGTCTATCATTCTATCCTTACACAAACCACCTATCAAAGAATTGTAAGTAACGACGTTTGGCGGGATTCCCTTCTCGGGCATTTCATTGAAAAGTGCCAAGGCTGAGTCTATCATTCTATCCTTACACAAGCCGTCAATAACAATGTTATATATATGTGCATTGGGCTTGAGTGTCCCTTTTTCCAATGTTCTGAGGAATTCAACGGCCATTGAGGTGTTACCAACCTTGCAAAGCCCGTCGACCACAATACCACAAGTTACAATGTTTATCTCACAAAGCCCTTCTCCAACCATCTTCCTTATCAACTGTTGTGCTTCGTTTATCCTCTTCTCTCTAAACAAGCCTTTCAGTAAGGTGCTGAAGGTATAGTGATTCGCAGAACAGCCCCGCTTGAAGAACCAACCCAGAATGGAGAACCCGTAATCGACCCGGCCCGCAAGGCAAAAGCTGTTGATAGCAACACTCATAGTGTATTCATCGACTGAAACCCCTAAACTGCAGATGTCTTTGAAAAGGTTAATAGCAGCAGAATACTCTTTCAGATTGACCACACGCGAGAGAAATTGAGTAAACTGAACAGTACTTGGTAGAGGCCTCGTTCTCGACATGTTCTCATACAGGCAAAGAGCATCATCCAACCCATTAATGTTCTTAATTTCTTCACGGAAATTGAATTTAGCAACAGCTCCTTTTGTACATAAACAACAAGAAAGTAGCGAGGATTGAAAGCAGCAGAGGGATTTACCTGATTCATGGCGAATTGGGGAAGAAGATAGAAATCACCGTAAAAAAAGGCATAACTCAGCCTCATCATTTGCTCTGTGCAGAGTTGTATTCTACGCACTGGTTTGCTCAACGAATAATAAATCTATATATATATAATCGCTAGCATCCTTGCATTAAATTAAACCTATTAAATTATACCCAGTCAGCATTTCTAAAGTTTTCCCGCCTAAATACGTTACTGTTCACTATTGATTTTTTTTTTTATTTCTTTGCAAAAACAGGTCAGTTTTACTTAATCTGATTGTGTTTAAATAGGAATTAATCTCATTGACTTTTTCAATGATGTAACCGTTACAAAATAATTATCTTACTTTTTTTTCATCAATAATTTATCAATAATTTTTTTTTTTTTTTTTTATTCTAAACCTTGACTTTCTGAAAACAATTTTGAAACTAATTTTTAAATATTCAGTTTATTTATTATTTATTAATCATGGTAAAATAAAATGAAAAACTGTAATCATGCTAAAATAAAATGAAAAACTGTAATGTAAATAAAAATACAACACATTTACAATATCAAGAAATCTCAACCAATAAATAAATTTCCTCCAGCTTTAATTTGTTCCTGCAAACAAACAAGAAAAAAATCATTAGTAATTATTATTTTATTATTGATACCACATATATGTCACAATGTATCTGCCATGAATCATGCACAGCAATGTTTAAGGTACAAATAAAAATCTCTGATGTTCAGCCACAAATAAAATCCCAATTCCCACAAAAATGCAGACTTTACAAATCTGCTATATTCCATAACACTATAAATAAGTACTTAATTCATCCAATTGCTACACCAAATTTCTACTCTCAAACCACATCCACATATTTTTCAACCAAAATAATTTTCATCCATACTTTTATATGGCTGCTAAAAATTTTGACAAACTCACCATGCTTGATGAAAATAAAGACAAAGATATTCTTTTACGTTTGGTTCGTTTTATAAAAAATGGGATTCCAATGATCCTTCTACAATAAAAAGTTTTGAATTTGTCTTCCATGATTTTGAGGTATCCAACATTGTTTACCATCTTTTATATTTTTTCAATTTAATATAATGGATTTAATCTAACATTTTTTTTATATATAATTGATGATAGGGTGGTCGATTTCATGCTTCAGCCCCGGGAATCTTGCATAAAAAGTTTGAAGATATCAAGTTTGAAGAAGGCCAACTCTATGCCTTAACTTGGTTCGAGAAAGGGAAGGACCACAACAAGTTCAAGACAACAAATAATTTCAGCAAATTTCTGTTTTATAATATGACGAAATTGGAT